ACTAAATAATGTATCAATAACTCAAATTTTTAGGCTGATAGTATGCCTTTGGAAATAAGGTGAGATATGGGAAGAAAATGGTAGTTTTGCATCTATTAAGAGGAAATATGAATAGAAGAAGGATCAAAGCCCAATTCATCAACTTTGAATACATGAACTCCATTACAATACATCTGAAAATATGATTTTAAATCTCTAACATGTATTTGAAAAAGGAAATAGAAGGAGAGATGTTGATGTGGCTTACTTTAAGTTAGGCGAAGTGCATGCAAAATTTTCTCCTCTTTTCCTCTCCTCCACTACCAAGGTTCACTCTCTTCCTCTTCTTTCTCTCTCAACCGAATATGTAAGTGTGTGAGTGTGTTTTGTGCTCAAAAGTGTAGAGAGGATTGGTGTGTTTATAGAAAGAAAAAAAAAAGAACAGTGAAAAGTCCAAAATGTCCTTAGTTCCAATTCAATTGAATAGGCATGGATTTAGTTAGGATGGAATGGAAGGTATGATGATTAGAGCCTTAATTACACCTTTAAACATGATCTAGTTAGGCTTAGGTTTAATCAAAGCTGAATTGGTTACAAGTACAATATATATATATATATATATCAATATATAATCATATTTGTACCCTAGGTCAAATTTTCTTTCCTAAATCAAGCAAATTGTCCCCAAAAGGACATCACCTACATATAAATACATAGCATAGCTAGCCTTGGGGAGTGGATTTGAGGGGATTTCTTTTGATTATTTGTGTACAACATGAAGATATTTTGTGGACAAAATTATTTATTTAAGAAAGGTACAAGTATATATATATATATAATAGTACTAACTTGGGGTCAATATGTGATTCAAGAAAAATATGTGGGCAAAAATCTTAATTTATGAATTTGAACATTTAATTAAGTGTAGTATTTAATTTATTTAAGGTCTAAAATTTTAATTCGGTTAAAGTTTCTTTATTTTGAATTAAATGGCGAATTATACTGAGAACTGGAAACCTAGGGTTTATTGTATGGAAAATATACTTAGAAAATTAATTTAATTATTATTAGGGTTTTAAAAATGGTTCATGACTTCCCGGGTTCAATTTAGGATTTGCAAGTTATCGATTGGCGCATGTTTTTTATTCTAGGGTTAAAATTGAAATTAATTAAGAAATTGAGAGACTACAAAGAAATAATTTAAAAGTAAGGGTTAAAGAAAATATTGCAAAGATCAGGGGCCTAACAACAGGTCTTGCCATTGGTACAAAACCAGCTAAGGTAGCAGGTGATGCAGAATATAAGAAGTTCAAAGAAGAGTAAATTTAAAAAAGCGGCGATATTTGGAAATTGGAATGGTTTCAAAGAGAAATCGATAGGAACAATACATAATCATATTTCAAATATTATTATAATTTTATTTTATGATTATTTTTATGTTTCTAGGATTTTTAGGCAAGGGGTATTTTTGTAACTTTATATTTGCCTTCATGGGCTACAAGGGTCACCCATGAGTCGTCTTGTGAGTCAAATTATTTAATTAGTCTTTGTTTTTGTTTCTTAAATTAGTTTTGGAAGTCAAAGATATTTTGGTAGTTTCCTATTTTAGTTCTAGTTAGTTTAGGAAGTCTCTTAGTCTTATATAAACCCATGTAATGCTTATAATTCAATAGAGTTGATATTTTATGAAACGTTAAAGAGCTTTGAAGCTTTTTTATGGATTGTGTGATGCAATCAAACCCTAGGTGTGATGCCCATGGAATGTTGTGATGTCTAGACCTATTTTTTTCTTCTCCTTTCTTCTTCTTTTATGTTACAATTTGCTATTCCCGAATTACTATTTACAGTCCTTTAAAAGTGCACTTTTCAACTCAAAACTCTATTCAATCACCCTCAAATCAACCCTAATCCCTTCCTCTACCCATTAGCCTTCAATTTACTCTTGAAACCATAAATTACTCACTATTTAGGACATCAAATAACCTTTGTTTTGAAATTCTAGTGTTGTCCTACATCAGTCTGGTATCAGATCTTAAGGTTTTGCTATGATGTTTTCACATTGTGGGAGATCCAACACAAGTGGATTGACTTGGGAAGAAGGTAAGTGCTTCTTAGAGAAAATATTCATCTGAGGGATCTTCAAGATGATTTTCTTGATCAATTGTATGCTCTTAAGCAAGGTGATATGTGTGTGATTGATTATGCAAGAAAATACAAGAACTTATTTATCAAATCGGGAGTGGTAGAAAGTGAACGGATGACTATTACTCATTTCAAAAGTGGATTGAGATTTGGAATTAAAAAAAAAGATGTCTCTTGCATATTTAGAAGATCTCAAAGATGCTATTAAAAGGCTATACAGTTTGAATTTTTTGTAAAATTTAAGAAGAAATCTACAATTTTGCAGCCTATGCATAATAGAAAGACTGTCCAACAGAAGAAACCAACAAAAACTCCTAAACCAAGGGCCAAAGTGCCACAAGAATATGCTGAAAAGCCACAAGAAGATGTAGCAAAATCAAATATTGTTTTTAGGAATGGAAATCATACACAATTGGAGTTGCAAACCAATGAATATGTTCAGAATTTTCCTAAGATGAAAGATGAGCAGATTTTGAAGGATAACGAGACACTTATTAATGATCCAAAAGCACCTCAAGAAGATCTAGTTATTACTCAAGTACAAGCTAGAGTCGAAAACGAGGAATTGGATGCTATGGAAGCTGTAAGGACTGAAGAATCAAAGCAATCAACTGCTAGTGCTATGCAAAATATGCCTTTAAAGGTCACCAATGTGTTGTCTAAATTTTCTAATTTGGTGCCAACAGAGTTATCTAATGAACCTCTACCCGTGCATAATGTCTAGCATGATATTGATCCCATATTAGAGTACAATTGCCTAACCCACTAGCACATAATGCAAATTTGAGTGAGTATAAAATGCAAATTAGGTGTTGATTTCATTCAATAGAATGTCAAGGTTGAATTGCATGACACCATTTTGATCGAGGAAGAGGGTGAGCATATGGAATCCATGATTACTGATACAAGAAAAAGCATTTAAATTGATTATAAGCAGTACATTGCAAAGCCAAAAAAGAATGGAATTGATGGGCAGAATTTTGCAACTCTACACTTAAATCAATTTAAGGGTTCATCTTCTAGTTCAATTGATTTCGTCATTCCAAAAAAACTTAACTTTAGAGCTAAAAATATCTTGTTGCTTTCATTGCTATCTCCAATGAAGAAGAAACGATGCTGCCAATTTGAAGATTTTAACATGAAGCCGTGGATGTAATTTTGAAGCTTGTGGGTGGTTACACTTCAACACTTCACAACTCGCGGTCGAGTTTTTTTCCAACCAAGGGAGAATGATCCGGAATATAAGAAGCTCAAAGAAGAGTATATTTAAAGCGGTTATATTTGGAAATTGGAATGGTTTCAAAGTGAAATCGATAGGAACCATGTATAATTATGTTTCTAATATTATTATAATTTTATTTTATGATTATTTTTATGTTTCTAGGGTTTTTAGGTAAGGGGTATTTTGGTAATTTTATATTTGCCTACATGGGCTGTAGGGGTTGCCCATGAGTCATCTTGTGAGTCAAGTTATTTAATTAATCTTTGATTTTGTTTCTTATTTAGTCTTAAATTAGTTTTGGAAGTCAAAGATATTTTGATAGTTTCCTATTTTAGTTCTAGTTGGTTTAGGAAGTCTCTTAGTCTTATATAAACTTGTGTAATACTTATAATTCAATGGAGATGATATTTTATAAAAAAAAATTAAAGAGCTTTGAAGCTTCTTTATGAATTGTGTGATGCAATCAAACCCTAGGTGTGATGCCTACGGAATCTAAGTGTGACGTCTAGACTTATCTTATTTTTCTATGTTTCAATTTGCTATTCTTGGATTACTATTTACAGTCCTCTAAAAGTGCATTTTTTAAACCTCAAAACTCCATCCAATCACCCTCAAATCAACCCTAATCCTTTCCCCTACCTATTAGCCTTCAATTTACTCTTGAAACCATAAATTACTCATTGTTTAGGCTATCACATAACCTCTATTTTGAAATTCCAGCGATGTCCCTATTTGTCCTGCATCAGCAGGTCTATTCACATTTTGTTCAGTTCGGGAATAGTTCCTTACCGTATGACCCATTTTACCAAATCCATAACAAGCCTCGAAAATTCGATAACAAATCTCTCGACGTTTTTTCCCACATTCTGAACAAATCAGTACTGAATCATTTCTTTGAGCGATTTCATCTTACTTAGATGTTTCTGACTTCAATATCTTATTTTTCAAGAATTCCTTATTCACATAAGAGCTTCGTCTCTTTCTTTTCCATATAGAAGATCGGTTCATGTTAGCTTCAGATATTAGTGCTCGAGCTAACACCTCAACATATTTTGTTACTTTCAAAACATTCACTTGATGCTCCTGCACAGGTGTTGGCGGAGGTTCTTGCTGTAGCAGTAGTTATTGTTGCTATCTTAAGGTCTCTGCTATTTCTTGTACTATTCTTTCTAGTCCATCAAACCGGTTTGTGGAGGATTCTTCCAACTCATCTGTCATTGTTCTCTCCATGTTCTACATGAACTTATATCATGACGAGTACTGAGATATACACAGATACACATAGATATAGTTGTACGTAGACACATATTCTCATATTCATATTTTTACATATTCACATATTTGTAGAGTTGGAATGCACATAGGCATATACTTTCAAATGAATGCAGTCTTAAGTCTTTTCTACACACCTTAACACTCAATTAGACAAGTGTGTGAGTTATTAACTCATGCTCTGATACCACTCTATCATGACCCGAACCCGCCCATAGAGGTTTGGATCATAACTGGCCAGTAATCATGGGATTACCTACGACCTTAGACATAATTCAAATCTTATTTAATTATATAGGGCTAGAAGCGGAAGCAGAAATATAAAATTTTTCCAATAAGTTTGTACATAAATGGCATGAACAAAAATATTTTGTGCATAAATAACTCATATCCATAAAAAGATCTCACATGTCCAAGACCATATAGTCATCCAAGAATCCTTAGTTGACTTCACAAAAACTCGGTATTCCTCTATAGGTTCACTAGAGCTAGACATCTCGCGGCTCACCTGCATACATATATATAACAGAGTGAGCAAAAACCTAGTGAATAACATCAAAGTAAAAAGGTTATATGAATGAGTTCTAATATTAAACAAATCATTCTCGTAATATTTTCGTATCATAACGAAATGACCTCGGGTCCAATATATGACAGAACGACCTTGGGTCAAACATATGATAGGACGACCTTGGGTTCGTTTCAGATATACAGAATGACATTGGGTCCATCATATGCTTTTATGCTTGCCAATCACATTTACTGACCTTTTACGAATCAGATAGATAGAAAGTTCATTCATAACACAGAATCACAAGTTTAGAAAACTTACCACAATGTAACATTTAGAAAATAAGATACATAAAATATTTTAACTAAAATATTACTCACAGCGGTTTGGTTGCCGACACGTCTTCGCAAACGAACCTACACAATTCATTACATATATTCATTGAATCAAATTGTTTAACCAGATTGTTCTTTAACTTATTCAATTATTTTATGTCTCATTCTAACTTATAGATTCATTTAGGAGGCGCAATTCATGCCTAAGAATGTTTTGAAATGGATGAGAATGCCAAAATGGGTAAAACATGACTTTTCAAAATATGATGAAACAAGACACTTCACTGGAGCACAACATTGGTCGCTCGAGCGGACCACATGGTCTGCAAAAGTATTGGATGGTTCGAATTTAGGTTCGATGGTGGCTCGAGCCAAGGTGCAAAATGAACTGAGGTCGCTCGAGCATCAACTTGGTTGCTCAAGCCAACAACAAAACTCTGCAAAACTACTGGATGCATGAGATGTGAGCTCGAGCAACAGATTATTTGCTTGAGCGGCGATGCCAAATTCGAGAATTTCCAAAACAGAGTTAAGCTTCAAAACACATAGTTTCAAATCATAAACTTGCACGGTTCATTCACAACGTTTAAAAAAAAAAAAAAAAAAAAACTTAGAAACTCTTTCAAAAACGTAATCATGTACTAAACTTCAAACCCTTAGTTCAAAACTTCAAGAATTCTTCAAAATAAACCTCAAATTCTTATGCATGCATCAATAGACTTCAAATTCTTTTCCAAGACTTCAAAAACATACAATTAAGTTCTAAAACAACATGATTCATGGATGCATGTAGAATTCAACTTCTAAACTTAATCTAGGTAATAAAACTCATGTTCGAAATAATGATTCTACACTCTTATGTGCATGTATGTATGATCTAGCTTCAAATTTCCTTTCCAAAGCTTACAGAACATGGAGATTAGCTTCAAAACAACTTAATTCTTGAATGCAAGTATGATATGATCATCAATTCTAACATGGATAACAACGCCTTGCTCAAAAGAATGGAACTCAACAAAACTATGCATACATGTGTAAATTTGCTTCAAATTCATCATTTTAAGCTCAATTCTTGCGTTTCAGTTCATAATCTTCATTAATACACATATTGATGGCTTCAATTCACAAACTAAGGATCAAACACATACCTAGAGTCTTCAATTACATTTGTATTAACTAATTCTTAAGCCTTTCTTCCAAATTCACAAGCCTCTTAGCCAAGCCCTTCAAGATCAAGCCCTCTTTCTCTCTCTCTCTCTCTCTCTCTCTCTCTCTCTCTCTCTCTCTTTCTAAATTGCTCTCACTCTCTCTATAATGTAAATCTCAGAATTTTTGAGTGAAAAAAGTGAGCTTAAACTCTCAAATTAACATATATATAGGCTTAATTAACTTAATTAACTAGTCAAGGATTAGGCTAAGTAATTAGAGCTTAAGGCATAATCAGATATAACTTAACTTAATTGATTTAATCTAATTAATTTAGTCTGAATCAAATTTAATCAAACTTCTCATTAGGCTCTAAACATTATGCTAATCACAATAAACTACTCAATTTCGGTTTTTGACGCGATTAAGGTCTTCAATTTTAGATCATAATAGAAATCACAACAGATATTCCTAGGATTGAAAGATATGCATCCAAAAACCACATTAATCACTTAATTAGCATTCAAATTCACACTAAGCACTTAAGCACATGCAAAATTAAAGAATTAAAAGTACATTACGCAACGGGGTTGTCCCAGATCGACTGCGTGAGAGAGGAAAAGAGAGGGAACGTATATTGGTGATGAGAACAGATGTATGTCTGTTTAGATCGACAGAGGGTTTGAAAAGGGGATATAGTGGTGGCTCCAACGAAGGTGTTGGAGTGGACTGGTTCTGGGAGAGAAGGAATGAGTTTGGTGTATTTGTAATCAGTGGTGAAAGGAGTGAAGATCTAGGGGGGGTCGTGTGCCCCTCTTGGATTTTGGGATTTTTTTTTTAATTTTGCAAACATAAAGAAAATATTTTAAATAAAAAAAAATTACAAAAATATTATTAGAGTGAAATGCCAATGAAATTTTAAAAATTATGAGAACAATAATGGTTGTTTTAATTGACAATGAAGAGACTACTAAAACCATATTATCTATGAAATTTTTTGAATATAACAGTGATGTCATTATTATTAACTTGCAAGTATAAGTAATCTCACTATAAAGATATAAAATTTATTGGATTGTTAGTTACATTTGACATGTGAGGTTCACTCTCTATGTGTCTATGTACAATTAGTTAATGATATCGCATATCAATGATGACGTGGTATTACCATTATATTGAATTTTTAATCAAATTTTGTATAAAAAAAAAATTTATCATTATATAATTTATTTTAAAACTTATATCCATATTTGTTTTGTATTGTCTATGATACACTGGTTGCAAATAACATTATTTTTCTAATGTTTCTCGAAATCAATCGTAAAAACTTGCATGAAATATTTTTGTAAAACTTTTCGATATTGTAATTAATAAGGCCCCCTCTAATTTAATTTTCTGGCTCTTTGTAATAGTGAACAGATAAAGAGAAAGAGTAGAGGGAAGAAAGAGAGTAGAGAGAAGGGGTTGAAAAATGGGATTGGTTATGACCGTAGAAGCTATATATATATATAGATAGATAGTTTAGTCTTTTTACATTAATTTATCCTTGTAGACAAAGTGGTTGTTTGACACGTATTAAAATAACACATGTTATTTTAGCACATTATCTTATTTAGATCACAATTATCTTATTTAAGTTACGTTACCTCTCTATTACATCACTTCAAATTCAATCCATATTTCACGTTTTTTCGTAAAAAATTAAAAAATATACTAATCTAGCATTTCTCATACAACCTTTAATTATTTTAGTGTCTAAATTGCTGACAAAAAAATTTAAATTTAAATTTTGGGTAAATTACATTTACCTTCTCTATGGTTTCTGACAAATACAGGGACCTCCTTTATAGTTTAAATAATTACAGTAACCTCCCCTACTTTACCTGACAATGTTAAGATTCTCCCAAAATTTGACAGTCGTTCATACATTTAACAGACCCTGTTGATGTCATCAAATATAAATACTGAAATGCCCATAATTCCCTCAAGTGCCCACTTCAAGAATTTTCCAGACTGTTGTTCTGTTGTAAAGAGGAAATTATCGAGGGATTCATTTTTCATCAACTCATATACCAGAAGCCTGTGATGACCTTCAGAGTAGAACCCTATCAATCTCACAAGATTTAAATGGTGGGTACTACTTATAGTTGCAACCTTCATTCTAAATTGTTTTTCACCCTGCTCAATTCCCTCAAACTGCTTCATTGCAACAATAGTTTTATTAGCAAGAATGCCTCTGTAAATAACCCTCAAATTCTCCAGCTCCAAGCTTCTTGTAGTTCTTTATACGAGAATTGGACTAGAGCGGCAGAGGCGTACTCAAGAAGAGCATATTGAGCAGACAAACCCCAAAATTTGGGGCTGTTTCTACAGCACCACCACCACAAACCTCCTTTCAATGTGACCAAACACAAAATGGTGACTATAACTACAACAGTAACAATCCAAGCATGCAACTTCCAACCATTGCCCTTTCTACTTCATAGCAAAGACGCAGAAGGGTTTGGTACTATGGGGCCACTACCTTTAGGAGAGTTGTAAATCCTCAAATTCCCATCACTGTCTAACTTCAAGAACCTAAGTATATCAGTCCCTTCAGCATAATCACTTCCATAAGCCATGATCACATGGGCAGAAGATGATGGATTTGTGATTGATAACAACCCAATTGATTGAAGTCGTAAAATGGGTGATGTAAAATTTATGTTAATTGACAAATTCACACCCGAATTCCAATACACAATCGACTTATTCCATTGAAGGGTCAAATTTCCAGAGATGAAAAGTCTAAAAGAGAACAACCTAGATTCCAATTTTTTGCTACTAGTGAAATTTTGATTAGGCAAGAGAGTACCAGTAGGGTTATTTAAGGTGAACCAGACCAAATCGGTGGAATTTCGGAGGACGAAGTTACCTGAGTCGTCAAGGGTGGCGGATGAGATGCCGCGGCCAGCGGTGTTGGATTACCAGACGATGGCGCCAGAGAAATTAACAAAGCGGAGGATGCCGTTGCTGAGGAACTGGAAGGAAGCGAAGGAATCGGCGGTGCCAGAATCACTGCCAGCTTTCCAGATTGTGATGTTCTTATAGGTGACGATAGTGAAGTATGCGAAGCCATCGACGATGAAACTTACAGAGAATGTGTTGTTTGGGGATGGCCATAACGGGTTTAGATTGTGATGTTCTTGGAATCGGCGGTGCCAGAATCACTGCCAGCTTTCCAGATTGTGATGTTCTTGTAAATGACGACAGTGAAGTATGCGAAGCCATCAACGATGAAACTTACAGAGAAAGTGTTGTTTTGGGATGGCCATAACTGGTTCAGATTGGAAGCCAAGAAAGAACAAGAAGACGATTGACAACAATGGCTTCATTCTCTTCACTCTCTCTCTCTCTCTCTTTCTCTCTCCTCCTTTGCACTTTTAATCTCTCACCTCTAATATGTATGGTTGTGTAGCGAGAGGAGGAGGATAAGAAAGAGAGATAGAGAGAGAACAAGTCCTTATTGACTTGGATCATAGAGAGTGGGTTCATGGTTGTGTTGGTCAGTCACGGACAGTGATGTCAATATTGAGTAAAGGGCTTTTTCGTCTTTTCGCATGCAAAAGTAAGAGTAATATGGTCATTTCTTATAAGATACTAATGTCGTTTGTGCAAAATAGATAGAATGATATAATCTTGACATTGTCAAGTAAAATAAAAAAAATTACTGAAATTATTTAAATTATAAAAAAAATCCTTATATTTATCAAAAAAATTCAAGGAAGATAAATATAATTTACCCTTAACTTTTTGGTCTACTTTTATATTTTTGCCCCACAACTGATGTGCTATTCTTTTTTTTGGTTTTTTTTCGCCCCCCAAAAAAGCGTGGTACTGGCAGACTGAACTTTCAACAGTTTCATTGACTCCGACTGCTCATTTCTCGTGACGCTACGGGAGATGGGATTTTTTTACTAATAAGGTTGAAAATTTTATCAAAATTCTTACAACCTTTACTATATTCACATAGTAAAAATTTTGGCAGAACATTTGGCTCTAACATTTTTGTTTTCTTCCCGACTCTTTTTAGAACCTGAGCAACACTCTCCCTCTCTAGTACTCCAGCTTTCTCTCTCTAAAACCCTCTCTCTCTCTCTCTCTCTCTCTCCAGAACTGAGAAAAACACCGGCTCCGTGTAACCAGTACCTTAAGCATTGTAATGTTCTTCTTTCTTCAATTTTATTTCTTTTGCTTCTGCAACCATTAGTTTGGTTTGGCTCTGCATTAAGATTGTTGTTTTCAATACTACCCTTCTTTTTCTTCTTTTTTTTCAAAGCCCTCTTTTGGTTCTGAAAGTTGTTTTGGGTCTTTCGAGTTCTGAAATGGGTCATCTTCAAAAAGAGAAAAGCCTCTTGGGTGTTGAAGTTCAATGCTTTTCAGAGTACCCATTAATGTCGAAGGCATAGACTCTGAGAAATCTTTGGTGAGGCAAGTGGGTTTTCATCAAAAGCTGTTGTTTTCCGAGTAAAGAAAAAGCAAAAGGAAAATTGATGTTGCAATTTCTGGGTTAAGTGGCTTCTTGATTGCTGGCTGTTTTGGGGGTTTTCAGATAAATAATAGTGTTGTTTCACTCACTGAAGGCATCCCTGTAATGGGATATCTGTGCTTGTTCTCTCTCTTGATATTTGGATTTCTATCAAAATCTCAACTTGTGTATGCTCAGCTCCTCCATGATGAGACCACCACATTGTTGGCAATTGGAAAAGAGCTTGGACTAACTGATTGGGGTCTCAACAACACAGATTACTGCTCTTGGCCCGGAATTGGATGTGCCCTGAACAGTTCAATGGTGGAAAAGCTCGATCTTTCGCATCGTGGGCTCGAAGGTAATATCACTCTAGTCTCTGAGCTCAAAGCATTGAAGTGGCTTGACCTTTCATATAATGACTTCCATGGATCAATCCCACCAAGTTTTGGTAACTTATCTGAGCTTGAGTTTCTGGATTTGGCTTTGAATAAATTTGGAAGCTCAATTCCTGTAGAGTTGGGTAGGCTTAGAAACCTTAGGTCATTGAACCTATCCAATAACTTGCTCACAGGACAAATACCTTATGAGCTAGAGGGCCTAGAAAAGTTGCAAGAATTTCAAATTTTTACCAATAAGTTGAGTGGTTTTATCCCAATTTGGATAGGCAATTTGACCAATCTAAGAGTTTTTACAGCCTATGAGAATGAAATAGGTGGTACAATCCCGGATAATCTAGGCTTGAAGTCAGAGCTTCAGTTGTTGAATCTTCATTCGAACCAGCTCGAAGGGACAATACCTGAGAGCATGTTTGCTTTGGGGAAGCTAGAAATTTTGGTTCTGACTCTGAACCAATTGACTGGCAACCTTCCTGAAGAAGTTGGGAATTGCAAGGGCCTTTCGAGTATTAGAATTGGAAACAACAAGATTACTGGAAGCATTCCTGGGGCAATTGGAAATGTTAGCAGCCTTACCTACTTTGAAGCCGATGACAACAATCTCTCTGGAGAGATTGTCTCAGAGTTTGCTCAATGCTCTAATCTCACACTCTTGAATTTGGCCTCGAATGGTTTTACTGGAACGATTCCTCCAGAGCTTGGACAGCTTACCAATTTGCAAGAATTGATTCTTTCAAGTAACAGTCTGTTCGGAGAGATACCAACATCAATTCTTAGCTCCAACAGTCTTAACAAGCTTGATTTAAGCAATAACAGATTCAATGGCACCATTCCAGCAGATATCTGCAACACATCGAGATTGCAATACCTGCTTCTGGGTCAGAATTCAATTACAGGAGAGATACCTCATGAGATTGGAAACTGTGTTAAATTGCTTGAATTGGAAATGGGTGGTAACTATCTGACTGGAACTATACCTCCAGAGATCAGTCACATCAAAAATTTGCAGATAGCTTTAAATCTGAGCTTCAATCATCTTCATGGACCATTGCCTCCGGATTTAGGGAGATTTGACAAGCTGGTTTCTTTGGATGTCTCCAATAATCAACTCTCTGGGACTATCCCATCTGCATTAAAGGGGATGCTAAGTTTGATAGAGGTTAATTTTTCGAATAATCTGTTCACCGGCCCGATTCCCACCTTTGTGCCATTCCAAAAAAGCCCAAATTCAAGCTTTTCGGGGAACAAAGGGCTCTGTGGAGAGCCATTGAGTTCTTCATGTGGAAACTCTAACAGCCATGGGAGTTACCATCGTAAGGTTTCTTACAAGATCATACTAGCTGTTATTGGTTCTGGGCTGGCGGTTTTTGTATCAGTGATAATAGTTGTTATGCTCTTTATGATGAGGGAGAGACAAGAAAAGTCTAAGAAATCAGAAGGAATTGCTGATGATGAAAGTAATAACCAACCATCAATAATAGCAGGAAATGTCTTTGTTGAAAATCTCAGACAAGCGATAGATTTTGATGCTGTTGTCAAAGCAACGATGAAGGATTCGAATAAGCTAAGCAGTGGAACTTTCAGCACTGTCTACAAAGCAGTTATGCCTTCTGGTATACTTTTATCAGTGAAGAGACTGAAATCTATGGATAGAACAATAATTCATCATCAGAGTAAGATGATTAGAGAGCTTGAAAGGCTGAGTAGACTCTGTCATGATAATCTAATGAGACCAATTGGATATGTATTTTATGAAGATGTGGCTCTTTTGCTGCATCAATACTTACCCAATGGAACATTGGCTCAGTTCCTTCATGACTCTTCCAAGCTTCAAGACTACAAGCCTGACTGGCCAAAAAGACTTGAGATTGCCATTGGAGTGGCTGAAGGGTTGGATTTCCTTCATCATCTGGCCATTATACATCTTGATATCTCTGCTGGCAATATTATTTTAGATGCCAGTTTCAAAGCTTTGGTTGGGGAAGTTGAGATTTCGAAGCTCTTGGACCCGTCCAGAGGCACTGCAAGTATCAGTGCAGTTGCTGGCTCATTTGGTTATATTCCCCCAGGTACTTTGTCTGTATCACGCTCATTTCTAGTGCTTTCTAATTGTTTATTTATTTATTCGTTGCTGTTCGTATTTTCAACAGAGTATGCATATACAATGCAAGTTACAGCACCAGGAAATGTGTATAGCTATGGTGTTGTTTTGCTTGAGATTCTCACAACCCGAGTACCGGTTGATGAGGCCTTTGGTGAAGGGATAGATTTGGTTAAGTGGGTTCACAGTGCACCTGCAAGAGGGGAAACCCCAGAGCAGATACTCGACCCGAGGCTTAGCACTGTCTCGTTTACATGGAGAAAAGAAATGCTTGCAGCTCTTAAGGTTGCACTGCTCTGCACCGACAGCACACCAGCCAAGCGGCCCAAAATGAAAAAGGTGGTGGAAATGCTTCAAGAAATCACTCAAAACTGAGTGAAATTCATTTGGGATTTCCTCATTTTTGATCCGTGAGATCAAGAATCCAATGGTCAGACTATCTGCTGCTAGTTTTGTATTGAAGGATTGATAGAAAATGGCACTTTGTAATTTCTTTCAGAACTGGAAAAAGAAATTGTGGAAGATGCGTCTCAATGATGGGTAACTATGCTCTCCCAGAACATTGATGCTCATGAAAATAGCATTTGTACCCATTTTCAAGTACAATCCATATTGATGTTTATACAAGCTTCATTTCTTATCTTCGTCGTTAGTTTTGAATACTTCTAACATGCTCCACTCTGTACCACAATTTTTATATGCAATTATATGTGACAAGGTTAACATATGATTGGTTGTCAAGATCAAGAAAATTAGCTGATGGAGGAATAAGAGCTAGGAGTCTCTCTTTCTCTCTCTGGTTAGTGTTAGAGCTTGGAGTCTTGCCATGTTGTGGCAAGAACTAATCTTCTGGATGCTTTTAATTTTGATCTTGATCATGATATGGAACTTTTGTCACCTCTGGTCCTTTTTGAACCCAGAGTTGTGAATTTTGATGAATTTTTTTTAGCCAATTTAAATTTTCAATTGTTACCTATCTAAAACTACACATCTTAGATTAACTGTTGACAATTTTTTTTTAACATTTTGAAAGTTACTACTGTTTCTCCTAGTGGCTGAATATGTACAGAGAAGTTGGGAGTTTTTGCAGATAAGTGATTGCTTGTGGGTTTTTTATTATTCAATTTGGAGATTGGAGAAATCTATTTATTTTGAAGTGGCACAATGACATGGGGAAACAGTTTTTTAAGCTATACTAGTGAAAGCTTCTGAATCCCAAAATCCTCAAAAAGTCTCTCCACATTCTTCAAGTTCATAGCCAACACAGCTGCCATCTGAGGAACCCTTTGGTTTAGGCAGTGCATTAGCTGTCCACTCTTTTATTATATATATATTTTTTTGTTTTTTGTTTTTATGTTATGGTCAAGAACTTCTACCTAAAAGCTAGTGGGAGAAAACATTTTCTAAGATGACACTGTTGTTGGCAACTCCTTTGGTTAAAGCTAAAAGCTTTGTTAAAGCCAAAACATGACTAAATCTTACAAAAACTAATGGTGAGCTGAACTCATTGTCAAAAAATGACAAAGTCAAATCTTATTGTATCAAATTTGATTTATGTCTTACCATATCATATTTTCTATAAAACACTTATTTTTCACTACCAGGGTCAACTTTCACAAACCAAAACTCACTCAAAACTTGATATCGTCTGAGATAATGAGAGAGAAAAGGTTGGGTTGATCTTAAATAGATTATGCAAAAATTAATTGAATAATGGTGATGTAAAACTTGGTTGTATCAAAAAGACAAATCACCATTGAAGTGATATACCCAAAAAAATAGTTGTTTTGTACTGTAATAAGCCAAAAACTAACGTTGGCAACGCCATTCAGGCTTTGACCATTGGATTGGAGTTACTGTGAACAAACCAGACAATTGACATTTTGCATTTCAATATTTCATGTGGAATGGAACAAAGAAGCAACCAATTGACCTCTCCTTTATTTATTTGTTTTTGAGATGCAACATTCAACAAAAGGCTAAACAGAAACAAGAGCAATGAAGGTATAGCAGAATGAGGAACAAACAACCTCTCCATGCCCCTCACTGCATTGTTTACAATTAGACTAGAGAACTCCTATTAGTATTCAAGGAGATTATGCAAATGATGGAAAACCAAACCAGGTGACACAAAAACCACCAGCAGCAGCTAAGCTAGTAGTAGTGGAGCTTTATTCAAGATTCAACACGAGACTTGACGATAAAATTCTGGCGACTGATGGGATTCATGACGACTGGAGGACCTGCAGTCCGAGGCCATGCCTGGAGCTTTCTTTCTGTCTCTTCCGCCCATTTCTTGTTCGAAACAGTTCCCGGAGTACTGCCTGTTTCCAAAAACACAGATTGTATTAAATTTAAAACTGCTGCTGCTGCTGCTGCAATTTGACTTGAGAGGGAACAAGAAAATACAATAACAAAGAGAATTAAAATAAATAGACACAGCTTGCCTCCAAATAACTTCCTGTCAGAAATAACATGGTCTAATGCGAACGAGAGAGCACAAGTTCCCAAAAAAAAAGGTATTATGTACTTGGCTGTCATGTTTTTAGGCTGCAACAAATAACTGAAAAAATTAACACATTTTCACATAAAACTTTGCTGCCGAGCCACGAAATTAATCCAAAAGGAAAGGGATAATATAACATAACATAAAAAAAAATAAAAAAAAATACAGCCCTGGCATTGTCTGATGGGGGTCAATACATAAGGGCTCTATCTTTTGTTGTTTCTCAAAACTTAGGGCTCTTCACAGGTTGAGTTGGTTCTGATTCATCTTACCTAGGAAAGTCCTTTGATACATACCTTTATGCAGGCGCCTTGGCTACACATTTTTTTGGTACATATTATGTATTTTTATAATAAATGTTATGTACTTTTTTGGTAGAGTTACAATAATTTACCATTAAAAAAAGAAAAAAGAAAAAAGGAAGTTACACATCTTTTGATAATGTTATATATTTTTGTAGTGATGTTACACATTCTTTTAATCAAAACATTTTAAACCACAAAATATATAACATTGTCACAAAAATACAGAATATTACCACAAAAACATATAACTTTATTTTTGACCCACAATTTATTGAAACATTACTAAAAAATTAATAAATAAAAAACCCTCATGTAATAAGGTGCATATGCTCCGTTCTAAGAAAATAAAATAAAATAAGGTGCATATGTATTTGGGAAGTGACTATTTTAGTAGGCTATTTTAGTTTTTGGCTATTTTAGTAGGCTAAAATTTTTGTGTTTGGGAAGATGATTAGATTTTCTGCGACATAAATCGATCGGCATCGGGCTTAGATATTTGGTTGATTAGATTAATAAATCTGCCCTTGCCCCAACCAGTGCATCGGCTCCAAAAGCCGAATATTATTAGTTCGTGGAGTGGCCGCGGCATAAATCGATCGGCATCGGACTTAGATATTTGGCCGATCAGATTAATAAATATGCCCTTGCCCCAGCCAGTGCATGAGCTCCAAAAGTCGAATATTATTAGTTCATGGAGTGGCTGCGGCATAAATTGATTGGCATCGGGCTCAGATATTTGGCCGATTAGATTAATAAATCTGCTCTTGCCCTTGCCAGTGCATGAGCTCCAAACGCCGTATATTATTAGTTCAAAAGCCGAATATTATTAGTTCATGTAGTGGCTACGGTATAAATCGATCGGCATCAGGCTTAGATATTTGGCTGATCAGATTAATAAATCTGCCCTTGCCCCAACCAATGCATGAGCTCCAAAACCAAATATTATTAGTTCAAAAGCCGAATATTATTAGTTCATGTAGTGGCTACGGTATAAATCGATCGGCATCAGGCTTAGATATTTGGCTGATCAGATTAATAAATCTGCCCTTGCCCCAACCAATGCATGAGCTCCAAAACCAAATATTATTAGTTCAAAAGCCGAATATTATTAGTTCATGTAGTGGCTACGGTATAAATCGATCGGCATCAGGCTTAGATATTTGGCTGATCAGATTAATAAATCTGCCCTTGCCCCAACCAATGCATGAGCTCCAAAACCAAATATTATTAGTTCAAAAGCCGAATATTATTAGTTCATGTAGTGGCTACGGTATAAATCGATCGGCATCAGGCTTAGATATTTGGCTGATCAGATTAATAAATCTGCCCTTGCCCCAACCAATGCATGAGCTCCAAAACCAAATATTATTAGTTCAAAAGCCGAATATTATTAGTTCATGTAGTGGCTACGGTATAAATCGATCGGCATCAGGCTTAGATATTTGGCTGATCAGATTAATAAATCTGCCCTTGCCCCAACCAATGCATGAGCTCCAAAACCAAATATTATTAGTTCAAAAGCCGAATATTATTAGTTCATGTAGTGGCTACGGTATAAATCGATCGGCATCAGGCTTAGATATTTGGCTGATCAGATTAATAAATCTGCCCTTGCCCCAACCAATGCATGAGCTCCAAAACCAAATATTATTAGTTCAAAAGCCGAATATTATTAGTTCATGTAGTGGCTACGGTATAAATCGATCGGCATCAGGCTTAGATATTTGGCTGATCAGATTAATAAATCTGCCCTTGCCCCAACCAATGCATGAGCTCCAAAACCAAATATTATTAGTTCAAAAGCCGAATATTATTAGTTTATGTAGTGGCTGTGGCATAAATCGATCGGCATCAGGCTTTTGGAGTTTAGCATTAATGAAGTCGCCTCGGGGGCGCTGCATGCATTAGGAATAAATGGGGTGGGTTCTTCATGCCAGTGATTTCACTCAATTTAAACCAGCTTGTTACGAAAGGTTAGATAAGTGTGAATGTCAAATAGACTGTTCTTCAACAGCAGAGGAGAAAGGCGAACATTGGCTGAGCTAGACACTGAAATGAATCATAGCAGCAAGCCCACACGCACGAGAGGTAGGACGTCCAGGGAACGGGAAAAATGTCAGCCCCCAAGTTGTCGAAGCAGATCCCCCCGAAAAGAAAAATAGCAACGGGGAAGCTCCCCGCGACCACGACCGAGAAATGAGCCCGATGCGACGCCGCGACCATTGAGTTTTACGATTTTTGTAGGGAATAAACCGATGACGGAGGCGGACTCTATTGTTAATGTCCCAGGTGTAGCAGTCGAGTTCGCTCGACAGATTTTTCCACCGGAAGTCCAGCAGTCGATAGTTGGTCGATAGGATTTCGAAGTATTTCGAGAGGGCATCCACGGAGCAGTAAGAGGGCTGTATACCGCCTATGAAGTTGGCATACGTTTGCGCGCTGCACGGCGGGAGATAGAGAAGAAGGACGAACAAATTCAAAACTTGGAGGCTTGTGCGAAGAAGGCCGAGCACGAGCTAAGGAAGGCCCAAACTGCCGAGCCGCATGCTGCCGGACAATCCAACCCGGTCGTGGATGAAAGAGTGACCCAACGGCTGTTAAGCCATGCGATTGTCGATCGAGATACGGCAAGTATGTTCGCAGTAGAGAATGCGAAGGCCGCGGCTTATGAACGAGGCTTCCACGAAGGCCGGAAAGTCGGAATAGAGAAGACCAAGAAGAAACTCGCAGAGGAGGTATGCCGATGCGAGAATCGAGGCTTTAGGCATAGGTGGATTAAGGCTCTCCAAGCCGCAGAGGCACTCCAAGGAGCAGGAGTTGAATCGGTGTCGCCATTATATCAACGTCATCACTTTCCTTTTGGCGCTTTCGAAATTGAGAAGAGCCATGACAAGGGTGATGCCGAATAGAATTGAATATATTGTAAACGCTCCAACACAGATTGGGCATTAGCTATGTAACTACTGGTTAACTTAATAAAATACTTTGTTTTAAATGTTTGCATTTCATTTTGAATGTTTGCATGCATAATTAAGCATTTCATTTTGAATGTTTGCATGTTTTAATTTGTTTATGCGGTTTGGGCCGGCTCAACCTAATTAAGCATTTCATTTTCAATGTTTATATGCTTTAACATGTATACAGTTTTTGCCAGCTCAACTTAACGAAGCATTTCACTTTGAATATTTGTATGCTTTAACTATCATGTACAGCGAGCCGAATTATGACGTGTTATGCATGGCATACGACCCAAACGTGTTATGCACGGCTCGGGCTCCGAATTCAGAGGCTTTTTATCTACGAAGGGCACACCGAATCCGGAGCCTTATTCGGTCCATAAGTGTCATGCACCGATGGGGCTCCGAATCCAGAGACTTGGCTTGGCCAATCGTGATATCCACGAAGGGCGCTTCGAATCCAGAGGCTTAATCGGCCCAAAGGTGTCATTCACCGATGGGGCTCCGAATCCTGAGACTTAAATCTTGGCCAATCGTGACATCCACGAACGGCGCTCTGAATCTGGAGGCTTAATCGGCCCAAAAGTGTCTTGCACTGATGGGGCTCCGAATCCGGAGACTTAAATCTTGGCCAGTCGTGACATCCATGAAGGGCACTCCGAATCCGGAGGCTGACTTAAATCTTGGCCAGTCGTGACATCCACGAAGGGCACTCCGAATCGGGAGGCTTAATCAGCCCAAACGTGTCATGCACCGATGGGGCTTTGAATCCGGAGACTTAAATCTTGGCCAATCATGACATCTACAAAGGGTGCTCCGAATCCGGTGGCTTAATCGGCCCAAAAGTGTCTTACACTGATGGGGCTCCAAATCTGGAGACTTAAATCTTGGCCAATCGTGACATCTAAGAAAGGCACTCCGAATCCGGAGATGTAATTGGCCCAAAGGTGTCATGCACTGATGGGGCTCCGAATCCGGAGACTTAAATCTTGGCCAATTGTGACATCCACGAAAGGCGCTCCGAATCCGGAGGCCAAATCGGCCCAAACGTGTCATGCACCGATGGGGCTCTGAATCCAAAGACTTAAATCTTGGCCAATCGTGACATCCACAAAGGGCGCTCCGAATCCGGAGGCTTAATCGGCCCAAAAGTGTCTTGCACTGATGGGGCTCTAAATCCGGAGACTTAAATCTTGGCCAATTGTGACATCCGCGAAGGGCGCTCCAAATCCGGAGGCTTAATCGGCCCAAAGATGTCATGCACCGATAGGGCTCCGAATCTGAAGACTTAAATCTTGGCTAATCGTGACATCCACGAAGGGCGCTCCGAATTCGGAGGCTTAATCGGCCCAAAGGTGTCATGCACCGATGGGGCTCTGAATCCAGAGACTTAAATCTTGGCCAATCGTGACATCCACAAAGGGCACTCCGAATTCGGAGGCTTAATCGGCCCAAAAGTGTCTTACACTGATGGGGCTCCGAATCCGGAGACTTAAATCTTAGCCAATCGTGACATCCACGAAGGGCACTCCGAATCTGGAGGCTTAATCGGCCCAAAGGTGTCATGCACCGATAGAGCTCCGAATCCGAAGACTTAAATCTTGGCCAATCATGACATCCACGAAGGACGCTCCGAATTCGGAGGCTTAATCAGCCCAAAGGTGTCATGCACTGATGGGGCTCCGAATCCGGAGACATAAATCTTGGCCAATCATGACATCCACGAAGGGCTCTCCGAATCCAGAGGCTTAATCGGCCCAAAAGTGTCTTGCACTGATGGGGCTCCAAATCCGGAGACTTAAATCTTGGCCAATCGTGACATCCACGAAGGGCGCTCCGAATTCGGAGGCTTAATCGGCCCAAAAGTGTCTTGCGCTGATGGAGCTCTGAA